TTCACAAATGTTTAATCTGATAAAAAAAAAAAGTTTTCACAGGGATGCAAGCCAAGCCCGATGGAAATCGGGGGCACCTCCGCCAACATCACCCCATCCTCCTCCCGTAACCCAAGCCCACCTTCCTCCTACTTCGCAAGCCCAATCCCTTCCTACCAGCCCAGCCCATCTTCCTCCTCCTTCCCCAGCCCGGCCCACCACAACGGGCCCACTGAACCCCCTTCATCCCATCCTTTCGCTTTCCTCCTCAACTCAATCTCCTCATCCCTTCCCCCACTTCGAATTTCCAATAGTGCCCCTGTAACCCCACCCCTCTCTTCTCCCACCCGAGACCCATCCAAGATGGTAACTTTCAACTTGGAGTCCATGTCAGCACTCAAGGGCCCGTTTTATGCAGCCTCCGCGCCGGCCAGCCCGGCCCGAACCCATTTCGGGTTCACGCCAGCTACCATTCCAGAGTGTGACGAGTCAGACACTTCCACTGTGGATTCGGGCCGGTGGATGAATTTCAACCAGGCTTATGCTGCGGCTGGGCCGGGCTCGCCCACTTTCAACCTCATGAGGCCCGTTGAGGCCCGGGAAGAAGACCCGTTGAGGCCTGGGGGTGGTGGTGACGTGGCGGATAAGGGAAAAGGGGTGGATTTCGGGTTTGAGGCGGTGAAGCCCTGGGAAGGGGAGAGGATTCATGAGGTGGGAATGGATGAGCTCGAGCTCACGCTCGGAAGTGGTAATACTCGGGCTTGAAATAATTTTGTGCTTTTTTCTTTTATTTTTATTTTTATTTGTGTGTGTGTTCAATTTTCCCCTCTCAACAGACAACTCACGAAATGAGTTAAGGAGTATTTCACAGTTAATATAATAACTACGTGACACGTAGTTTAAGTTTGCTAACAAATGAAATGNTCTTAATTGGTGTAAGACTGGTGGATATACTTATGATCCACATGTTTGAGCAGCTGCCATTTTTATGTGTTTGTCTCAATCAAAGACTAGTTTGTTTGCTACATGTTTGGTTTCTTGCTGTTCCTTTTAACTGAATTGCAATGATTGTGTGCTTTTTCATGGCAATTATTTGTGAAATGATTGCATATGGTGAGAATCATTATCATGGAGAACTCAGTTTAGTTGGATTATTTGAAGTGTTTGCCAGTGTTGGTAGCATGAATGATGGTTGTTTTTAGCTGCTTTAATGTATGTAAACTGATGTATGGATTCTGATTGTATTTACATGTTGGGAATGTCCACAGCCCAACAGGTTAAATTAGCCGTTGTAATGATGCAAAATGCATATCTTAATTTTGCAATCATACTTTAAAAAAAAAATAAAAATAAAAATAAAAATGAACGTTGCTTAAAAGATCGTTTGCCCAAGTTTCTACTTTAGAAAGGTAGGACTTTCTTAAAATGTGTCCTTTGNAGTTGAGATCAAATAAGAATGGCAGATAGCGAAAAAAATAAGAATCAATCTGGATCATTGGATTTATCAAGTCAATAGTTACGATAGAGTCAAAGTTTAATAAGTGACACTCAAACATATAGTGGCAAAATTGTAAATAAGTGTACATTGTGTGGTCAAATATATACTTTTGACCACTTAGTAAGGGCAAAAAAGTCATTACGTATCCACCACTAGTGGCCCACCTACCCCCTCTATCTCCATCCACCGATCAGATTTTGTATTCTCTTCTGCCAAACGCCAAATATGCAGCCATTCGCCGCCGCCAATCCAATTACATATCATATAATTTACTTTTTTCTTGATTTCTAGTGTAAGAACCGATGGCAAAACGTGGGTGATCCAATCTATACTTATATAATAAGAATTAACATTTATCCAAAATAGTAGGTCAAATTATGGTCAATGTCGGATTTGCATTAAATATTTTCCAAAACCGGTAAGTTTTTTGTCATTTTCACACTTCTCATTAATTATGTCATTTTCACACATCTAATTAATTCATTAATTACGACATAATTATCATAAATCATTCCATCTGAGCTTTTATCGTTAAAATGTATAGCGATGTGTTATGACCTTATCCCATTGATATTTTCATGAAGCGTCTTTATCGCGTTCTATTTTTTGGTAACCACTTTATATCAATAACCGGATATTTGATTAATGATAACACACGTCTTTATTTCAAGGAGCGGATATTCTTTGACCTTTAATTAATCTGAACTGATTGCCTTAACTTTTCAATTTTTAAAACTCTTTTTTTAAATATTTCGGCTTAAGATTCGGATTTCATTATACAAGTCATCGGATTGTTTGAATGAAAATGAATGAAAAGAACACCAAAAACAGGTAGCCTTATTCATATAACCAATCCTAAAATATTAGTTTGTTCACCAAAAAGAGACAAATTCTAGAAATCCTAAAATATTAGTTTGTTCACCAAAAATATTAGTATGATTTTTAGGATTTGTCTCTTTTGAAAATATTAGTTTGTGATAATGAGGAGTTACCAAATAATCAAACTCATATTACCGAACTTTTTATGATTCAACAATGTTCTTATGTATTTTAATGATTTTAATTTCGATCCTAATGCACGTGAGGTTATATTATTCTTCCAAATTTTACATCTCGTGCATCGCACGGGTTACGTACTAGTTACATATCATATAATAGGTTATATTATTCTTCCAAATTTTACATCTCGTGCATCGCACGGGTTACGTACTAGTTACATATCATATAATAGGTTATATTATTCTTTCAAATTTTACATCTCGTGCATCGCACGGGTTACGTACTAGTTACATATCATATAATTTTCTTCCAAATTTTACATCTCGTGCATCGCACGGGTTACGTACTAGTTACATATCATATAATTTACTTTTTTCTTGATTTCTAGTGTAAGAACCGATGGCAAAACGCAGAGTGAGCCCAACTGAAGGGCAAGTAAGGTTCCATCCCAAAAACCAGCCCAAGTGAAGTTTCATCCTAAAATCAATTGGTGGTAGGAGGAGTAGTCCATTAAGCTTATAAGTTGATCTATTTTTCCTGTATAAACGATGTGGGACAACTCACAAGTGGTATTATATTCTAATATGTACGTGGTTTTTTTTTTATTTTTTTTTTGGTCTTCTCAATTTCATTAGTAGAAATCTCAGATGATATATTTTCACTCATTGTTTATCATTACTTAAAATATCAGAGAGCGCCTAAATGATAATTATGAACATTATTAAAAAAAGCGCGCATATTACTGTATATGTTGGACTTAT